TAGGAATGCACCACTGCACCTGGCTTGGCCATTTTTATAATATTAATAAACAAAAGATATACACTGTACCATTTTCACTGGTAGCCATATCATGTAACAGCAATTACAGACATTAATTTAACTAACCTTAGATCTAGTTTCAAATGTTCATAACATCTTTCCTTTTGTTTTTAATGTGTTTTCCAGGCCATTTTGAAAACACTCACTGTATCTATGTTTTAAATTCTGTCCATTTGGTCAGAGTCTAAATGGTCGTTTTTGGAGCCCCCTTCGCCTTGGAACATTCTTCACCATTTAATCTTTTAGTGCCTATGCAGTGCTGGCCATTTCTGTGGATCCACAAGGCAAGCAGTTAAAAGTTTGATCCTATCACTTGCCCAGGTTTACCCACAGCAGTTTGCCACTTGACAATTCTCATGATATAAAAAACAAAGGAAGCTTTAGAGCACCAGGTTCCACTATCAAGGCAGTCTATTTACTTTTTGTTTTTAATTTAAATTTCGATTTTCTGATCTGGCTGTTTAGGTTTGCAATAGTAATCAGGTATTTGTCAAAGTCTTTCTTAGTATTATGCTAATTTCAAATAATTTTTAGTTGTGTTCAATGTTTTTCCTGTTATTTTTATTAAGAAGCTGAGAAGGGATTTTTAAATAATATCTAATGTTTAAATAGCCCAAATTTTATTTTCTTGTCTCTGCAATGTTCAGAAAAGCAGAACACATCATTATCCATGCAATATAATCATCGTCAATATCACTGAAGCTCACATTTACTGAGCAGGTAAAATATGTTTTACAGATACTAATTTAATCCTCACAACAACCCTTTCAGGTAACTACTATCTTCATCCCATTTTTCAGATTAAGCTATAAACTGAGGTACTGAGGTAAAGTAAATTGCCACCTTATAGAGCCAGACTTCAATGCAGACATTTTGATTCTACAGCCCAATAGTTAAATATATCATAATCATTTTACTCAATGTGTAATAGAAGGAAGTTCCTTGACTAATATATTGATTATTGAAATAATTTACAAAAGTATACAAACAGTAAACATTATGCACACATTTAGAGAGAGAGTGGGAGAGTTCAAACTTTTCCAAAACTCGCAGATGTTGAAGCTCGACTTGATTCATAGCCGTTATATTTTTTCAGTTGCCCAGTAGTTTGTCTAACCTAGCATCCCTGTAAAGCCACTATCATAGGAACCACTGTGAAAGGTGTTATTCAAACGTATCAATGGGTTTATAATGCTCTCAGTGTTTACTTAAAAATGATAAACAAATTTCATTCCATAATTATGATCTCGTCTGTTAATATTTCACTTTTAGTGTTCTTTATAGGGGCACATTTATTGCTTGAGTATTTGTGAAGCTAGTTTGAAAAAAATATATTGCATGTAAGTTAAAGTGTCTTCCAGTGTGCATATTGCTTCAAAGACATCAAATGCTGCTTGTGTGTATGTGAAACATATCTGGGATTTATTGATAGCTTATTTTTTTCAGGTAACTGCCATCCTATATGCCATCCTACCTATTTTTATTGATAGATTCTGAGGTTACAATAAAATAAAATCTGTTTACTATTTAGAACATGGTTCAATGAATGACTATATTATTCTGTTGTATTTTCTCTTAATGTAATCAGTCAAAAATAACAAATCAAAAAGTGTTTGCTCGTGAGGTATTATTTTGCTTCTAAATTTCGTGGTAATCTAGATACAGGCAATAGGCAACTGTAATAAAAATTAATAGTAAAAGATAGTTTTCATAGTTGAACTAACTAGAACACTGTATTTGGGTTGACTTTCATCGCAGCTCTCTGGAGGCAGGACTTCCACAGAATAGGTGATCTACAATAAAAGTCTTTAGAGTATTCTTGCTAGTGATGGTACAAGGAGATGCTTTAATAAGCCCTTGAAATCAGATTTTTTGGCTTTGATAATAAACAGTTGTGAAATATTGGGCAAATCATTAAGTGTTTTAAAGTCTTCATGATTCTTTTAAATCTTAGGTTTCTTATTTATATAATGGTAATAAAACTGAAAGGCAGGTGTAAAGATGTAATGAAATCATACATGTGAAATGCCTAGCCAAATGTTATTTCCTGGAAATTAGGAAATACTTCACATCCTGGAAATTCCCAAATGTTCAATATCCTGCAGATTAGGGGTTGGGGTATTAAAATAAAGATCACAATATTAGCTGCTATTGCTTGAGCTTAAATTATTGCTCCGTTCTTTCTTAGCTGTGTGACCTGAGGATTTTATAGCCCTCAGAAGAGTGTTCAATAAGATCAACACCCAACAATATCACTACTTCTCCGCATTTTACTCATTACCAACAAATCCATCCCAACATTTCCTGTCCTTCTCCCTATCCTCTCCCCTGTTTTTTCTTCTTCTCCCTTTCCAGAGCAGCAACAAAAAGATACAAAGTAAAACATAGAAAATTGCCCTATTCCCCCCAAAACAGTACAACCATGGCAGTTGTGCCTCATCAACAAAAGTTGTGCAATTGTAATCTCTTGTAATTCGTTCTCTTCTAGCCAGATGTTTTATTTGGTGTCACCACTGGACAGATCAAGTAAAAACAATACTCACAATCCAGGCTGATGGCCTAGGGAACAAACATCACATGACTTACAATTATAGAGTTTAACAATTGGAAAACTGATGCCAACTTGTAAAGAAATGCATAACTACTGAATACTACTTGACAATGCATTCTTTACAACAAATCTTTCCAAATCTGTCCACTTCAGCTTCAGCTTTTATTTTTCAAAGCACAATATTCTTACACATAACTTTGAAAAAGAAAAGATGAGCCATAGTATCTATTTACTTAAGAGAAGTTAGATGGTGCATGTAACATCTCTGTTACAGTATACAACAATGACTGACTTTAACCCTTAAATTACATTTGTCATTTGCTTTGACTGCAAAGTGACCTATACTTATGTATGTTGGTTTACAGCAGATAATGCCCTTCAGTTTTTGACTAACATCAAAAAATAAAGACATTGCAGTAAAACAAAGAAAGTCTCTATTAGCTAAATACCAAAGCAAGAGTTAGCCTACAACTTCTAGTACAACAAACATTTACAGAGAACAAAATGCCAAAAGGGGACTGCTGGGTTTTTCCATTACTTGCTCTCTTTCTTTCTTCATACTTACTGGAAAAAGTGTAAGCTTTAATTCAGCTTGTGTAAGTACAGCTCCGTTGCTGAATAATTTTGTGGCCGTTGGCTAAATAACCTGTCTGTGCCTCAGATTCCTTATCTATAAAATGGAAATAGCAATTACAGTAACTTTCTGAGAAAACTATGTAGAGGATTAAATGAGACAATACATGAAAAGTTTTTAAACAATAATTGAGATACCATAAGTGCTCAATAGATGTTAGTTATTAACACCTTAAATAATACTTATTTTAAAAAAATGTGTGCTGTCTATTCAACACGAAAACTTGCCTACCTTGCAAGAGTAAGAAAAGAGTAAATTAAACCACCAATAAATGTCAACAACCTAATTCATGGTACTATCTTAACCAAACGTTCAATTTAGTTCTGTATTCTAAAGTTGTAACAGAGTGGCAGGAGTCAAATGAATAACTCAGAAACATTTCTCTGGTGGCATTTGAACAACAACACAAAATAAATCTCATAAAAAATATAAAATTATGGCAACAGTCAAAAAGAAAGATGATGAGGATCTAAATGCAGGCAGTGGCCTTAATTATGGAAAGAATGGGAGAAATATGAGAAGAACAAAAGGGACAGACTACACAAGCATATTGCTAATATAACATGGGTGGTACCAAATAAATTCAATTATATTGTTATTTTTAAAGCTTTCCAGAGCAGGAACTCATCTTATTTGCTCTAGTGCATACTTCATACAATAATCGTTATTAGTCCAAAATTTATCTCAGTTCACACATTTTAGAGAATTATCATATGTTGCATTATAGAGAGTGCAAAGGATGCTTATAGCTGGTAAAATATGATTAGCTTTATTAGTATATCAGGCTAAACTACCCATATGTTAATCAATATATTTATGCTAATTGCTAATTTTCATGTCTCACAACAAAGGTGCAAATTGTGGCATCATCTGACCTTCAAGGCACACATAATACCAGTGATGCTTTTTTTTCCTTACTAAGTTGTGCAACTGCTAAAATTAATTGTACCCCAGGGCTATTATATTATGCGTGAATTGTCACCCAAATGAATGACAATGTTTGAGAGGGAGTGGAAGAATAGGGATTTAGATGTGTTCTCAGTGAATGCTGCCAGCTACATGACAACTGACATAATACCCAATTACAAGATCACTAATTAAAGCTATCAAATCAAGCCTGTGTAATTTTTGCCCATCACTAGGATTTTCAACTTTAGCTTCTGAATTTTCCTTCAACAACTAGGAAAAAAATCCTTTTCTAACTAGTTTTTCCCAACATTCTGAAACTAGGATTTATCATTTGATGAGTCAGAAAATATTGTAATTTTGCTATGTCCAATTCTAACATGTAACGACATAGTGACAATATGCTTTGATTTTATTTTTCATGTTTCAGAACTCAAAAAGAGCTAAGAAAGTCAGATACATGTTTCTTCTTTTAAGACTGAAGCAAAGAAAGTGAAATCTCTAAATTTCCTTGCATTCCTCATGAAATCTCCTGATTTCATGAGGAATGCAAGGACATAGTAGGAGGAAAGAGCCTTACCAATATACTATTTATTATCTTCTTTATTGGAAAAAAATAGCTGGTTAAAAGTATAGCTTTATATCTACTTTGTTCAAAAACAAGATGAACATAATGGTTTAAGTTTTTCCATATGCAAAGTAGAGTCAACTTTTATTCCACAAGATAATATTCAGTGAATATCTTAATCATTTGGATGAAAATTTTAGAAATGTGTATATATATATATATATACACACACACACACACACACAAAGACACATATACAGCATCATATACATTTACTGGAGTACATATATTTAGATATACATATTATTTATTGTGTGTATATGTGTATATTTGTGTGTGTGTGCGTGTAATCTTTTCACCAAAGAGACCTACAAATTTGTTGAATATTATCTTTGGTTAAAAAAAAAAAAAAAAACTTTAGACAAATTAAATTTAACAGAGATTCACTGAGCAAAGAACAATTTGAAAATGGGGTAGCCCACGGAACCAGAATAGGCTCAAAGTGACTCCGGGGTCGCCACATGATTGAATGACATTTACAGACGGAAAAAGGAAAGTAACATACACAAAGTAGGAGCAATGTACAGAAACATCTGGATTGGCTACATGTGGGTGTTTGCTTTAGTTGAGCCTGGTTTGTATAGTTGGCTGCCTGTAGTTGACTCAAGTTCAGCTGCAGGGATTGGCTGAGGCTCAGCTACTTATGACAAGAGTAGGTTGCAATCTGTTTACACATCAAGTTGGGTTACAGTTTATTGTGTATGGAAAAACCTTTTGGCCAAGTGTAATTTAACCATTTCCCCTTTTGTCAACTTCTTAATTGAAAACGATTAAAGAAAATCTTAGGCATTGAGGTCACTCTGTCATCATTGTAAATGGACTTATTTGGTCTCAAATCCCTTTGGAGAATGGCAGAACAGTGGGTTTTGTAGGTGGGAACAAGGAAACCGAACAGCAGGAAAAAATGCTGGGGAGCATCAGGTCTCTTCAGATTTCTTTTTTGTAAGAGAGCAGAGGAGGCTTCCCTATTATCCTAAAATCTCCTGTTTGAGAGAGGAAAACAAAAATGGGCCTGTTTTGAGATTTATTTCCTTAAAGTTTTAGTTTTATTATGTGGCATTTAACATGAGTGACTTCATTTTTATTTGGTCTAGTCTGTTGGGACCTAGTGCCGGAGCTCAGTCCAAAACAGTGACCTCCAATAATTTTGTTTAGAAATTTCTCCCTTTCGATCAGGATCTCATCTAGGTGTGCATGTGACCAAAACTTAGGGCATTAGCACTGTTCTCAGTTACCATCATTTTAGCTTGCCAGTCTCACTATATCATTCATAGGTTATGGTGTCCTCATGAATGCAAATTTCTTTAACATTTTGTCTTCCAATCAAAGAAAGTCTATTTAACATTCTACAGATGTCTGCATGCAAACATTTAAAACTTTTGAGAGAATACAGTTCACCAGAAAGACTATTATTATGACTATCAAAAGGACAATACCAAATATGCTGCTTAGCCAGGGTCCCCATAAACCAAAACAACTAAAATTAAATAGATGAAAGAATGTGCCAGATGAAAAGTGTACCTATTTTAACCAAGCAGCCTGTTTGTTAATCCCTTGCAACCAAGTCTCTAATACCTGACGTATTCCTCCATGTGTAACAAGAAGTGTGAGCAATTGCAGATTCTTTCCTGTTCAGCTAACAGGTAATTTAGAGCAGTTCTATTATTTAGTACAACTTTAACAAGAGAATGTAAAGAAATCTGCTCTGCAATTACAGCCTTTGCAATAGAATCTACTATAGAGCCTATTATGAAGGATACATCTCTAATTATTGCCTCTTTTATTATATATTTACTCCAAGCTCTGGAAAAGGGGGCCTAACAAATGATGCACATCTAGAAGGGTGAAGAGCTCCTGACAATTTTCTCTTTAATGTATGATGTAAGGTAAGAGGAGTGGACCCGTGCTCTGTTTCTACTGATTTGGAGCAGCAGCGAAGAATTTGAAGCCCACATTGGCCCTTCATCTTCAATCCAACAAGACATAATGTTGCCATGGATTAGATGGGCTGTGAAATCCTCTATAAATAAAACTATAACCCTTGGGTGAACACGAAGACCTATTGCTCACATATACATTATAACAGTTTCTGGCCAAGAGTCTGAGACAGAATTACTACAGGTTAAAATAACATTGTGGTACCGCGGCATATAGTTAATTTGCAAAAAACTCCATTTGAGTAAGTCTGTTTTGTAATATACTCATTGGTCTGGCTCTGCATACCATTAAAACAGAGAATACCAACAAGTTGGTTGAGAAATCTTACCACTGCTACAATTCGGACAACAGTTACATTAAGGATGTTACTAAAGTAACCCACAAAGTAAATTACAGGATCCCTTAAGTCATATGAAGACCTGGGTTTGATATGACAGATTCAACACTCTGTCAAGTTACTCACAGATATTACTAATGGTGAAATTTTAATTACAGCATTCTTCTGCTGCTTTGATTTGGATGATTGTCCCCTTCAAATCTCATATTGAAATTTAATCTCCAACGTTGGATGTGCACCTAATGGGAGGTTTTTGGGTCATAGGAGTGGATCCCTCATGAATAGATTAATGTCCTCTCAGAGGGTATGGGAGGGAGAAGTGTGACTGAGTTATTGTTCTATTTTTTTCTCATGAGTTCTGATTGTTAAAAACAAAAACTAAAACTAAAGGAAAAAAAAGCCTGGCACCTCCCCTCTACTCTGTCCAGCATCCTGTCTTGCCATGTGATCCCTGCACATGCTCTACTTCACTTTCTGCCATGAATGGAAGCAGCTCGAGGCCTTCACCAGGAACAGATGCTGGTGTCATGCTTTCTCTCCAGCCTACAGAACTGTAAGTCAAATAAACAATTTTTATTTATAAATTACTCAGTCTTGGGTATTTTTTATAGCAACACAAAATGGACTAAGACAGAAAATTGATACCTGTAGTGGGGTATTTAAATAAAGATACCTGAAAATGTGGAAGCAGCTTTAGAACTGGGTAATGGGCAGAGGTTGGAAGAGCTCGGAGGGCTCAGAAGAAAAGAAAAAGTTTGGCACTTCTTAGAGATTGGGTAACTGATTGTGATCAAAGGGCTGATAGAAATATAGATGGGAAAGAGAGTGCTGAGAAGATCTCAGACAGAAATGAGAAAATGGGAACTGGAGCAAAAGTCACCCTTCTTATGCCATCGCAAAGAACCTGACTGCATTGTGTCCATGCTGTAGACCTTTGTGGAAGGCTGGAACTTAAGAGTGATGACCGAGGATGTCTGGTGGATGACATTTCTAAGCAGCAAAGTGTTCAAGAAGTGGTGTGGCTGCTTTTAAGAGCTTCCAATTAGATATGGTAGGAAAGAAATGTGTTAAAGGTGAAATTTACAATTAAAAGCAAAGCAGAGAAAAAAAAAATTTGGAAAATTTGCAGCCTGGCCATGTGGTAAAGAAGAAAGGGGCATCTTCAAGGGAAGAACCCAAGGGTGCTGTAGAGCAACCACTTTCTAGAGAGCTTACTGTGGATAAAAGGGAGCCAGGTGCTAATAATCAAGACGGGGGGAAAAGGCCCCAAAGACATTTCACAAATCTTCTGAATTATGAAGGCCACCCCTTCCATCACAGGCCCAAAGGCCTAGGAGTACAGAAGATATGCCTGGGACAGGCCTGGGACACTACTGCCCTGTGTCACCTCAGATGCTGCTCCTGCATCCCAACAACTCTGGCTCCAGCCACAACTTGGACAGCCCCAGCTTCTGCTCTGGTTGACATTCTGGAGAATGCAAGCAGTAGCCTTGGCAGCAACCATGTGTTGCAAAGTCTTCAGGTGCCCATAATACAAGAGCCATTCTTGCATTGGCTTGGTAGCTTAAGGGATATATTGAAAGGCCTGGATACACTAGAAGAAGCCTGGTACCACGTCAGAGCAACCAAAGAGAGTCCCTACTAGGGCAGTGCCTAGTAGGGTAATGAGAGCAGTACTGTCACCCTTCAGATCCCAGAATTATAGAACCACTGACAGCATAAAATCCTAGCCTAGGAAAGCTGTAGACACCAGGCTCCAAACCATTAGAACAGCCACATAGACTATGCCCAGCAAAGGTATGGGCAGGGCTTCCAGAAGCCTTAAAAACCTACCCCTCACACCCCAGTGTGCCCAAGATGCAGGATATGAAGTCAGTGAAGACTATTTTGGAGCTTTACAGTTTAATGTCTACCCTGCTAATTTTTGGACTTGTGTGGGGCTTGTTATACCTTTCTTTTCACTGATCTCTCTGTTTCAAGATAGAAATGTTTATTCAGTGCCTGTGCAACCATTATATCTTAGTAGTAAATAGCCTGTTTTTTATTTTCCTGGCTCATAGCAGGAAGAAACTTGCATCGAGTCTCAGATAAGACTCTGGACTTAGAGCTGATTATGGAACAAGTTAAGACTTTGGGGGACTATTGGGAAAGGCTGATTGCATTTTGCAATGTGAGAAAGGCATGAGATTTAGGGGCCAAGGAGCAAAATGCTACAGTTTAGATGTTTGTCCCCTTCAAATCTCATGTCAAAATTTGATCCTCAGTGTTGGAGATGGTCTTGGGAGTGGATCACTCATGAATAGATTAAGGTTCTCTTTGGAGGGGAGGGGATGAGTAAGTTCTCACTCTGTTAGTTCCTGTGAGAGTTGGTTGTTAGAAAGAGCCTGGCACCTACCCTCTTCCTCTTTTGCTTACTCTCTCACCATGCAATCTCTGCTCATGATGATTCCCCTTCACCTTCTGCCATGAGTGGAAGCAGCCTGAGGCCCTCAACAGGAGCAGATGCTGGTGCCATGCTTCCTGTACGGCCTATAGAGCCATGAGCCAAATAAACCTTCTTTCTTTACAAATTACCAAGTACCAGGTATGTCTCTATAGCAACACTAAATGGACTAAGATACCTGCCAAGCACAAGAGGTAGGCATAAGGAAAAAATTAAAAATTAAGAGAAGTAAGAGTTTCATGAAAGCAGAGAAGTCTTGATCCATGATCTTGGGACAGCTCCTCATGCCTAAGCTGCCTCTGCTTCTGGAAACTTCCCTGACTAGCTTTATCTTAAGGTCTTCAGTGAGTGTACAGTTCCTACAGTCTAGAGAGGGCCTTTTGGCTTGTGAGATGTGCACTGAAGGTTTGAGGCCCTGACATTTTGCTGCAGTGTGGGTGGCAAGAGCAGTCTTTCTCTGAATATGTTTTTAGATGACCCAATCTCTGGGTTCTAGATCATGAAGGGTTTGATTTTCCTCAGTTGTTGGATCAGGAAAAGGGTACGTTACCTTGTGAAAGCACACATTAGAATAATGTATTAAAGTCTTGTAGCATTTCATGATTTTAGAGTTTAGGAAATCAGGAAATACATTAGGTTCTATTATTAGAAGCATGGGCCTTTCAATGACTATGTCATCAGGGGTCAACTTATATGTTCTACTGAAAGTGCATCTTATTGTCATCAATCGGAAGTGCCTTTGACCTAGACAATCTTGTTGATTCAATTAGCATTACCTAATGCTATTGTATCTGTAATACCTTATTTAATTGTTTTCCAACTTGTCCAGTAAAATAAGTACCTCTATTACTGGAAATTTCTCCAAGAATGTCCCATGAGGGAAACACATTTTCTAATAACCATTTTACCTGTTGTTATACCATTAGCCTTCTTTCATGGAAAAGCTTCTATCCAACCAGAAAACATGGATTGAAAATCACAATTGAAAAAAATTCTTCTATAAATGTTCAAATAGACCATTAGGCAGCAGAAATGTACCTGAACTTGTGAATGTCTTCACAAAATTAAGGGTTTGACTAAACAAATATTAGTCATAAGTAATTTTGCCAATTTTAGAACAGTCACCACACCATATTTTTTAATATAATTTTGATCATTTTGTCTCTTTATGATGAATCATGAAGTACATAGTTTTTAATAATGGAAGTTTTAAGTACTCAGAAGGGACCAGGTGGCTGTCCAGGCTCTCCATGAATCCATGCTTAACACTGGATTTATATTCTCTAAAATATCAACATTGTTTCTGTAATTCAGGTTCATAGCACTGTTTATTAAATGGGTTAACACAGGTAATTTGACGTGATCATGGAGTTCATTCAAATTGCATGTCTTAGCAATTTTAGTACTGGCTGACTTAGCATGAAAATCTGCCAAAGTATTTCCTTGGTATTTAATTAGTTCTTGTACTGCTTGAGTTAGCAGTTTTATGAGCCAGTCAGTCTCTTCATTAGAGTTCTGGGAATTCTTACTGAGTCCAATGGTATGATCTTAAGGTTATCAGCAACCTGTGCTTGCCAGAGTCATTTCCAGTCTTTCCATGAACCTCCTTGAAGACATAAAACTTTAAGACTATAACTGCTTATAAAGAGCTTTCTGAAAAAAAATCAGAATTAACAATTAACTATAGACAGTAAGACTTGAAATGGTTATGGTTAAAGAGGCAATTGGCAAGGAAATTTGGTTATTTCTATGGCCCACAGTAATTTAATGTAATAACTATAATGACTGATAACATATCCCGAGCTTATACAATTTTGGAACATGTATTAATAACATATCTATACAACCATAACTCAAGCTAAAAAGGTTAAGTATGATTTCTTATTTAATAATACTTTCCATATAAGTTAACATAGCATATAAGTGGTTTTCATATATCTCTTTTGGATGTTTCAGGGGCCCTCTGGAACATCTCAAAGTTAATTTGAGATCAAAAAGACTTAATTTTGATTTTAAAATTTGATTTTTGGAAGTCTACCAAATATATTAAGGGTTTAAAATACCTAACCAAAATAGGATCACATGTTGCTGTAAAATAATAGTCATTTAACCAAAATGATAATTAAAACATCTTGAAAAATAAAAACTTTTACTCTTTGATAAAGAGGAGACTCGGTTTTCCAAATAATCAAAAGACCTAATAAAGTCAGAATAAAGCACAGAATATTTGTTTCTCTTTCTCTTTCATTCTCTCTTTCTCTCTGTTTTTGCAGTTTACTCAAAAGGTGAATAAAAATCTTTTATTATCTCTTATTAATACAACACAAAAATCTTGCTTAAAACAGAAAGCTAAATTTTATTTTCATATTAGTCTTCTCTTAAGACTCAATTTTTAAAACTCTTATAACAAATTTATTTATTCTTAGTTTAACCACACAAGATTTTAACTATTTTTTTCTTTCTCAAACTTTCTATGTCCATTCAATTTTATCTATATCACTTTTTTATTTGTTTATTTTAAAGCAATGTTTAAATAATGTCTAAGTGAGATAAAATTACTTTAAAAGAAAATACACTTTTATATTTCCTTTATAACCTGTCTCACCAAAAACATATTTTTCCTTTTTTTATTATATATTTTGCATACAGAATTGTTACCCTTATTTTTAGCAGTTTTAATTATATACATTAATTAAAATTTTAACTCTTAGTAACTTTAATTTCCAGTGAAGAACCTAGAATATAAGCAATTTTGAACTGTTTTGTAACAGTATTTGTAGATCAAAGCCATTATATAATTTTGAGAAATATATGTTTAATCAGTGTTTTATGTTGATTAATAAACCCAAATATATTTAGCTTCTCTATACCATATAAAAACATGTTAAAATATATAAACTTAAAATTGTTCTTAATAATTAATGTTTCAATATTTTAACTTAGACTTAGATATGACTCAGATATTTAATGAGTTAATTTAACATGACTTGAAGATTTTACGTTGCTGAAAAAATATTTTTGAAACTATGACATGTTCATTTATAAACTTTTATGCCATTTACATTCGGATAATTTACTCATTCTTAAGAATTATGCGAGGATTGCTCATT